TTTTAATTTTGGCCAAAGTATAAATAAGATTGCAGTTCAGTCCTCCTCTTTTTGAGAGGCAGCTGCATCAAACGCCTGGGAAACTGGAACTCCATCCGGGTCTCCCACGCGGGTGGCAAGGGCCCAAGGACCTGAGCATCACCTGCTGCCTCCCAGGGGCCTGGAATCGGGAGCTGAGCCAGCACTGGAATCCAGGCAACGTGATTTGGGGTGTGCATATGGCAGGAGCCATCTGAACGTGTGCCCCAAGCCCACCCATCCCGTGCAAATCCTTTTCAAAGCTCAGTGAGGGGCCGGCAAGTGCCGGCTGCAGCGCCGGCAGCCCGTCAGAGCGCCAGTCGCAGCAGCACCTCCCACCTCCCTGCTGATGTGCCTGGGACGGCAGCAGGTGGTGCCACGGGGCCCACTGCGCTGGGCGGAGCGGCGGCCTCCGGGGAATAGATGCCGTGTCCTTAACCTGGGGAGCCCGTGGCCGTCTTGGTGGATGTGACTGACTTCAGCTTGGGTAGCTTTTGTTGTGTTTGGAGGGGCACAGACTTCCCACCCGCTGGTTCACTCTCCGGCACGGTGCGGGGGTGGGGGGGGATTCCAGCAGGGGTGGAGGTCTGTCTGTCAGAGCGGTGTGGGCCCACTCAAGCTGCACTCTGGGGGGTGCTGGGCCATCTCTTCCTGAGATCCGGACGCCCAGGGTGTGACGTCCGGGGCGAGGTTAATTGAACATTCCAAAAGGGTGGGGTAAGGGGCTGGGATTTGAGTACCCCCTATTTCCTTGCCCCCCCCTTTTTTTAAGATTTGTTTATTTGAAAGAGTTAGAGAGAGAAAGAGACACCTTCCATCTGCCAGTACACTCCCCAGATGGCCACAATGGCCAGTGCTGGGCCAGGCCAAAGCCAGGAGCTTCATCAGGGTCCCCCATGTGGGTGAGAGGGGCCCAAGTACTTGGGCCATGTCCCACTGCTTTACCCAGGCCGTTAGCAGGGAGCTGGATCGGAAGTGGAGCAGCCAGGACTTGAACCAGCACTTGTATGAGATGCTGGCATCACAGGTGGTGGCTTTATAAGAAACAAAATAGGTGCTGGCGCTGTGGCATAGCAGGTAAAGCCACTGCCTGCAGTGCCGGCATACCATATGGGTACCAGTTCGAGACCTGGTTGCTCCACTTCTGATCCAGCTCTCTGCTATGGCCTGGGAAAGCAGTAGAAGATGGCCCAAGTGCTTGGGCCCCTGCACCTGCGTGGGAGACCTGGATGGAGCTCCTGGCTCCTGGCTTCAGATCGACACAGCTCTGGCCATTGTAGCCATTTGGGGGGTGAACCAGCGGGTGGCAGACCTTTCTGTCTGTCTCTCCCTCTCACTGTCTGTAACTCTACCTCTCAAATAAATAAATGAAAAAATGAAATCTTAAAAAGTGAGAGATTAGGTTATAAAAACTGGGGCTTGGGTTGGGCATTTGGTCCAGCCACTGCTTGGGGTGCCCACATCCCCTATGAGACAGCTCAGGCTCAAGCCGCGGCCCAGCCAGCTTCCTGCTAACGAACACCTTGGTGGGGGTGAAGTGGGGAGGCCCTGCCACCCAGGTGCGAGGCCCAGTTGGAGATCTTGGCTCCTGGCTTTGGCCTGACCCAGCTGCAGCCATTGTGGACTTTTGGGGAGAGTGAACCAACAGATGGGGGGAAAAATCTCTAGTAAAATGCAAATAAATAAAATAAATTTTAAAATCCGTGTTGGAATCCTAACCCCTAATATGATGGTATCGGAGGCGGGGCGTTTGGGTGCCATGAGGTCATGATGGGAGAAGATCCCCCAGGGAGAAGGGCTAACGTCTTCTAGAAAGAGGAGGAGACCTGGCGCCTCTGCCCTCCGCCACGCAGCGGGGTCTGCCCACACCTGATCCTGGCCTTCCAGCCCCCAGAGAGAACTGTGAGACGCGAATGTTTGTGGTTTGCACCTCCTAAGAGAACCAACGGGCCAGATGTAGGTTAGGAGGGAGAGCTGGATGGAGCTCCTGGCTCCTAGCTTTGGCCTGGCCCAGCCCTGACCGTTAACATTTGAGGACTGAACTAGTCATGGGAGCCTTCTCCCAATCTGTCCCTCTCTGCCTTTCAAATTAAAAATAATAATAATGATAAAGAGAGAGTCACCCAGCCCGGAGGTCGTGCAAGTCTGTGTTTCCAGCCCTGGGCAGGTCTGTTGCAATGACTCAGCTCCCGGATGTAGCACCACGACAATTAGACAATTACGGGAACAAATGCGTGTGGCTGTGTGCCAATAAACCTTTATTTACAAACAAAGCTCGGGGGCCACAGCCGACCTGCCCTTGACCTCCTCCTCCTCCTCCTTTCTTCCCTTGGGGAGTGGTCTGTCTGCCCCAGGTCACGGGGCCAGTGAGTGGCCAGGCCAGGTCTCACCAGCACCTGTGGTCGCCCTCACCGGCCCCTGGGGGTCCCTGCACTGGCTGAGCCGGGCCTCTTCCCAGAGACCTCCAGGCAGGTCCCAGGAAGCCGGGTTCTCTCCGCCCACGTCCCAGGTGGCTGCTGGCTGGGGGCCCAGGAACTTAATTTACCTAAAGCCTGCTCTGTGCCAGGGATCACGCGCTTCTTAGGATTGAACTCTGCTTGCTACTATTTTATGATTATTATTTGAGAGGCGGAGACACACCCTCCCTGTGTCCTCCATCCGCTGCCTCGTCTCCAAACGCCAGGCCACAGACGGGAGCCAGGAACCCCACGCGAGTCTCCCCCGTGCGGGCGGGGGGACCCAGGTCCTTGAGCTGTCACAGCAAGCGGAGCCGGGCCCGGCATCCAGGACGCTGCCTCTCCTTGTTTCCGTGTTATGTGCCTGGGAGCAGGTGCCGGGTCTCCACACTCAAGGGTAGGGGTTGCACAGGGATGAGCTGGGATGGGACTGGCAGCTTCCCAGAGTGCAGTGCCTGTGGGAGTCGCAGCCGCTCCTGTTAATGCCAAAGTGGGAGGTGGCAGGTGACAGCCCAAGTGCCGGGGTGCCTGCCTTCCACATGGGCGACCTTCATGGAGTTCTGGGCTCCTGGCTTCGCCGTGACCCAGCCCTGGCCGCTGTTGTGGCCATTTGGGTCATGAACCCGTGGCTGAAGATTCTCTCTCTCTCTGTCGCTGCGGGGACACCCGTACCCCCCATCAGGGTGCACAGGTGAGAGCCCTAGCTCCGCCCCCAACCCCAGCTTCCTGCAAGTGCGTGCCCTGGGAGGCAGTGGCTGAGGGCTCCGTACCTGGGTTCCTCCCTCCCTCCTTCCCTACACGGTGGGGCTGCTGCCGGCTTCAGCCTGGTCCAGCCCTGGCTGTTGTGGCTATCTGGGGAATGACCCAGCAGATGGAATCTGTCTGTCTCCCCCACCCCCTAACTCTGCCTTTCAAATAGAATAAATCCTTTTTTAAAAAGTAAAATCTGTATTTTGTATTGTAGCAACATTGTTTACAAATGGAGGGAAAAAAAAACGACCTTTCTGTTAATGCAAGACCAAGGTCTCTGAGCGGGGACTTCGGCTAATTTTAGCCCGGGCTTGAGAGCGGCCCCCAGGGCCAGCTTGCCCTGTCAATCATTCCCAGAATAGCCTGGGTGGCTGCCTGAGCACCATCTCTTCCCCCCAGGAAATCAGAGCCCAGAAGGTTGGGCTGGGGGGCGGACTGATCTCCCCCAGCCCGGCTGAGTGTCTCTGCGCAGGCGCGCGGCTGGCTGTGGTCCCGGCCCCTGCAGACCCCTCCCGCGAGCTGTCCTGGGGGAACTGGAGTTCCCTGCACAGCTGGGAAGTCCCAGAGCCCTGTCTCTGGTTTCCTTGTTTCTTTATAGATCCAGGCAGGACTTCGGCGTCCAGTCCCGCAGGTTCTGAGGATCCGCCGCCATCGCAGTCCACCCCGCCTCCCCCAGCACCTGTGACCGCTTGGTAGAAAAACGTCTGAACCACCCCAACCTCTTGCAGCCGTTCACTTGGTTTCCATCCCTTACATTAAATGCATAGGGAGAGCATGTGGGACAGTGGGTAGGACGCCGCCGGGGTCCCCCGCGTCCCACATCTGAGTGCCTGGGTTCAAGTTCTGGCTGTGTGTCTAACAATCCCAGCTTCCCGCTAATGCACACCCCAGGCGGCCGCTCAAGGACTTGGGTCCCTGCCGCCCACGTGGGCGACCCGGATGGCGTTCTGGGCTCCTGGCTTCATGGCTGCTGCAGGTGTCTGGTGGTGGTGGGGGGTGAACCAGCATATGGAAGAACTCTGTTTATGTCTCTCTCTCTGATGCTCTTTTAAATAAGTAAAATCTTAACAGAATAAAAGTGTACAAATGGGGGCCGGCGCTGTGGCGTAGCGGGTAAAGCTGCCGCTTGAAGCGCCGGCATCCCATATGGACGCTGGTTTAAGTCCTGGCTGCTCCACTTCCAATCCAGCTCTCTGCTGTGGCCTGGGAAAGCGGTGGAAGATGGCCCAAGTGCTTGGGCCCCTGCACCTGCGTGGGAGACCTGGATGGAGCTCCTGGCTTCATCGATGTAGCTGCGGCCATCTGGGGAGTAAACCAGGGGATGGAAGACCTCTCTCTGCCTGTCTGTAACTCTGCCTCCGACATAAATAAATAAATCTTTTAAAAAATTTTTTTTGACAGGCAGAGTGGACAGTGAGAGACAGAAAGGTCTTCCTTTGCCATTGGTTCACCCTCCAATGGCCGCCTCGTGCTTGATCTGAAGCCAGGAGCCAAGTGCTTCCTCCTGGTCTCCCATGGGGTGCAGGACCCAAGCACTCAGGCCATCCTCCACTGCACTCCCAGGCCACAGCAGAGAGCTGGCCTGGAAGAGGGGCAACCAGGACAGAATCCAGCGCCCTGACCGGGACTAGAACCCGGTGTGCCGGCGCAGCAGGTGGAGGATTAGCCTAGTGAGCCGCAGCAGGTGGATTAGCCTATTGAGCTGCGGCGCCGGCCTAAATAAATAAATCTTAAAAAAAAAACAAACCTACAGATGAATGGGACGAGCCACGAGGGTTCATTCGTAACGGTTTTATTGGCTGAGCCCTCTACCCGAGCTCCAGTGGACGTGCAGGGGCTGACACTGGGGGACTCACAGTCTTGGGGCCCACCCAACTTCCAGGCGTTACCCCAAAAAGGCACTTTCCAATAGCCAGGCAACACCTGGGGCTCCCCCTCCCCCACCTGGTGTGGGTGCGGTGTCTCCCTTGAGAGGCTGGCCACGCCCACATCATGACCTGGGATGAGTTTTGGGGAGGCCGAGAAGGACCCTGAAGCTATTGCTCCCCCACCCCACCCCTGCCCCCAGCCCAGCCCAGCGGCAGCACAAGGCTGAACACAGCATAGGCATCTGTGTGTTTGTTGAATGACTGCATGAGCAAGACTCTGGCGCAAGGGAGGCCTGACGCTTCCAGGGCCTAACCGTGAGCGTTCAGCTGGATCTGGGACCCTCACCCCACCCCCACCCCACGCCAGCCGGTTGTATTTGTTTGGTTCAGGGGTGACCTGAAGCCAAGGAGCAGAATTGCGCACCCTCTCAGTTCTCAGCCCCCCCGCCCCAGGCAAGCGTGGTGGAGGCCTTCCTCGTGCCACGTCCCGTGGGAAGTGCCTGTGACCCACAAACACAGATGATCTAAAAGTATGCAGAGCCGTTGTCAACCGGGATCTCTCCCGGTCTTGCCTGCAGGGCTGTTCCTGAGCTCAGCGGGCTTTTTCCAAGTCCAGCCTCAAAGAGACGAGGGGCCGGGGGGTCTCCATTCTGCAGATGGGGACACACGGGGCTGAGGCTCAGGGAAGGCTGGCAGCTGGCCTAGGGAGACAGCACAGCCTGGGCATCAGTGGGTCGGGGAGGGGAGGGGGAGGTCTAACCACAGAGCGGCCTGGCTAAGGAGCGATTTGGAAACCACAGCACCTGGCCGGCTGCAGGTGCACAGGAAACACCCATGAAAGGAACAAGCCTCATTCCTTTTGTTGGAGGCAAAGGGGCGAGGAGGGAGGAACAGTTAGGGTTTCGGGCAGGGGCGGCTCCTGGGGGGTCTGTGTGCCCCTCCCAAAAGCCGAAAAGGAGGAAGAGGACCTGGGGGGGTGCGGCCCTCCTACCCTAACAAAATCCTCCAGCCCCGGGTCTCATGGCTCCTCCCCGCCATCCCTGGAGGGTGGGATGATGGCCCCGGTGGGCAGATGGGAGGGTCTGAGCCCGAGGGTCCCTGGGGTCGGGTCCTCTCCTCCGTGGCCCCCCACACCCACCCTCTAATCCGCCTTCTTGGTCTTCTTCTTCCTGGAGCCCTCGCTCAGCTCCTCCTTGGACTTGGTGGCCAGGGCCCCAGAGGGGGGCCCGCCGGGCCAGGCGCCGTGGTTGTCCTGGGGGTGGTCGCCCCCGGAGCCCGTCCCGAACAGCACAGGGCACACGTAGGCCTCCAGGACGTCAAACGGGGAGCTGTGGGAGTGCGTGGCTGTCAGGAACACCTGTAGGGAAACAGCAGGAGCCCGAGGGGGAGGGGCAGGGAGGAAAGAAGAACCAAGGGTGAGGTCACGGCGGGAGGTGGCCCAGGCCCACACTCTGCCCGCAGGTGCCTCCGGGAGCAGGAGCCACAGTCCTGGTTGTCTAGAGACCGGGAACCTGGTGCCCCAGCGTCGCTGGAACAGCTGGCCGCCCACCTCGCAGGAGCCTCCCAACACCCGGGCTCAGAGGAGCTCACTGTGCTGGCTGCTAGGGTCTGCAAGTCTGTGTCCCACCGCCCGAAATTCAGATAAGGAGGCGGGGCTGGGGCTGGGCACCGAGTCACCGTGGGTTAAGCCACAGCTGAAGGACGCCCGCCTCCCGTATCGGAGAGCTGGTTCGAGTCCCGGCTGCTCCACTTCTGATCCGGCTTCCTGGGAGGCAGCAGCTGATGGCCCAAGTGCTTGGGTCCCTGCCTCCCACCCGGGAGACCTAGGTGGGGCTCCTGGCTTTGGCCTGGGCCAGCTCTGGCTGTTGCAGGCATTGGGGAAATGCACCAGTGGATAGATTCTCTCTCTCCAAAACTCTCTGTCCCTCTGCCCTTGAAACAAATATTTTTTTGAGATCTCTCTCTCTCAAGATTTATTTATTCATTTGTTCATTTATTTAAAAGGCAGAGTGACAGAGAGAGATTTTTCCATCTGCTGGTTCATTCCCCAAATGGCTGCAACAGCCAGGGCTGGGCCAGGCCAAAGCCAGGAGCTCCATCCGGGTCTCCTACATAGGTGGCAGGGGCCCAAGCACTTGGGCCATCTTCCGTTGCTTTCCCAGGCCATAGCAGGGAGCCGGATCAGAAGTGGAGCAGCTGGGACTCGAACTGGCGCCCGCATGGAATGCTGGCATTGTAAGTGGGGCTGTACCCACTAGGCCACTGTGCTGGCCCCAATACAAAATAAAATGTTTAAAGCAAAATAAATAAAAAATAAAAGCAGCCCTGGAGAGCTAGCCAGTCCTTCCCACCCACCGTGTGAGGGTACAGAGAGAAGTTAGCCATCTGCAACCAGAGAGAGGCCCTCGGCAGAATCCCTCCGCGCTGGGACCTGGATCTCCACCCTCCAGCCTCCAGCTTCTCTTGTTGCTAAGCCGTGTGGCCCGTGGGCGTTCTTTGAAAGTAACTTAAATGGCGGTCAGCTCCCCCTCCGCTCTGTCACGACACAGGCAGGCTCCGGCTCATTCTCTGTTGCTGGCCCTATAATCCCCTCCCAAGGAAAGTGCATGGGCTTGGGTCTTCCAAGAAGGGGAGGTGGGGTGACCCTGACTCAAGGCCAGACCAGCGCCACCCCTCGTCCTGCTCAGCCGCTTGCTCTCCGGGGATGAGTTCCTGGCTTCCGGTCCCTCAGGCCTCTGTGCCCCGGGCACCAGGACTGCGCTGGTCTTTGCTCAAAAGCCCTGGAGAACATCACTCTTTAACAGACCCCGTGTTGTGGTGTAGCAAGTTAAACCAGCGCTTGCTACACCAGCACCCCAGACTAGCGCTTGTTCGAGTCCTGGCTGCTACATTTCTGATCCAGCTCCCTGCTAATGCGCCATGGAAAGCAGCAGTGATGGTACAAGTGCTTGGGCCCCTGCACCCGCGTGGGAGACCCGGATGGAGCCGCAGGCTCCTGGCTTTGACTTAGCCCAGCCATTTAGAGAAAGAACCAGCAGATGGAAGATCTCTCTCTCTCTCTCTCTCTGTCTCTGTCTCTTTCTACCTCTCTCTGCAACTCTGTTTTCAAATATATACAATAAAAAAAAAAATCTTAAAAAAATAAAATAAAGACTGTCTTCCAAGGAACCTCCAGGCAAGCTCCCCCCATAAACTGAGAGCATCCAGGTTGCGGGCTCCCAGCCTCGGAGGTGCGGGGCGGCCCCTGGGGAAGACAGGGAGAGGCTCACCTTGCAGGAAACCATGAACATGGTGAAGATGAAGATGAGGCTGGCCTTGGACACGGGCAGCCAGCGCGTCTGCTGGAGGGTGAAGAGGATGGCCCCGTACAGGCTGGCCTTGGTGGGGCTGCCGAGAGAGGGTACCAGAAGGCCTTTACAGCTCCCACCCAGACCCCGGCTCCCACCCCGGCTTCTCCCGCACATGAAGAGTGGGTGGGGTGAGGTCTCCCTGTGCGGCGAGGGGTTAACCTGGCCCAAAGAGAGGTCTAGCCTGGGCCCCAGTCCTGGAAGCTGCCCTGCTCACGGTGCCCTTGCCTGTCTGGGGTGATTTGTGTCACCTACGGTCGGGGCCTGGCAGCTTCCGTTGGACCTCTGGGGGAAGGGGCCCAGGCCAGGTACACAGAGGCAGTTAGGTGCCCGCAGGAGCTTCCGCTGGTGGCAGGACGCCCTGTGTGCGGTCACAGAGGCCTGCTGGGAGAACTAGGCTCCGTCCATGCGACTCCAGCTGCACGCTCTCCTGGACTCTGATTTTCACCTGCGTCCGTTTGCAGCCCCAAACCCTAACACGGAGGGCCGGCGCCCTGGCGCAGCGGCTTAAGCTGCCACCCACGTCAATGGCATCCCCCGTGAATGCTGGTTTGAGTCTGGGCTGCTCTGCTTCGGATCCAGCTCCCTGCCAAGGCCCCTGGGAAACCAAGGGGAGATGGCTCAAGTGCTTGCGCCCTGGCCACCACATGGGACATGGGGATGGAGCTCCAGGCCTCAGTCTGGCCCAGCCCTGGCCATTGTGGCCATTTGCGGAGTGAACCAGTGGCTGGAAAATCTCTTTCTTGCTCTGTGTGTGTGTAGAGGGGCCAGCACTGTGGTGCAGCAGGTTAAAGCCCCAGCCTGCAGCACAGGCATCCCATATGGGCGCCCATTCAAGTCCCGGCTGCTCCACTTCCGATCCAGCTCCCCGCTAATGTGCCTGGGAAAGCAGAGGAAGATGGCCCAAGTGCTTGGGCCCCTGCACCCAAGTGGGAGACCCGGAGGAAGCTCCTGGCTCCTGGCTTCAGATCGGCTCAACTCATGGAACACCTTTCTCTCTCTCTCTCTCTACCTCCCTCTGTAACTCTGTCAAATAAGTAAAAATAAATCTTAAAAAAAAAAAAAAGTCTGAGAGAGGAAGTCTGTGCCCTCTGTGTAGCAAGCTACATAACGGCTCTGGGCCCCCACATCCTCACTGCTGAAATGAGGGTGGGAAGAGGCGTTCTGTGGGATAAAATAAATGACGTAGCATCGTGTTTTCCAAAGTGTGGAGCGGGGGGTGATTTTCACTGGCGTTGGGGTATAATTCTGTTACATTCCCACAGCTGTGGCTTTACTTACTGGAGATGGGAAGAACGTTTAACTAGCTCAAACCTGTGAAGTCTTTTACAAATTGTTTAGGCTTAATGAAGCCATTGGGTCCTGTGTCAGATCCTGGCTGCTGACATCTGGCCCTGCCCATGACTCCCCACCCACGTTCCCCAGCTCACGCCTGACACCCCACCAAGGCGCTCTATCCTGACCCTGTGCACCTGCCAGTGTCACTGCCCTCTCCCACCTTGATAGCTGGCACAGGAGCCTCTGTCTGGAAGTGCTTTCTTTAGCTGGAAAACTCCTACTCACTCTTCAAAACCCAAATCAGATGCTACTTCCTCCTCACGGCTCTCTCTCCCCCTGCTCGTCCCCTAGGCAAGAGCTGTGGCTCCTGCTCTGGGCTTCCCCAGCCGTAGCCTCCGGAAGGTCCAGCTAGGGGCTAACGCATCTCCAAGTTATCGGCGTTACCCAACCCTGGGGCAGCCGCCTGTACCCAGTGGTGGCTGGGTGTGATACTCACAAGGACATGTGCAGGATCTCGTTGGTCTCCGGCTTCCAGACGCCTCGGAGCAGCTGCTCAACGTTGGACAGGAGGGCGACGCCAGAGCCTGGGGGACAGGGCACTTCTGAGGGAGCCTGCCACCCACCATGGCCCCCTCTGGACCCCCAAGGCAGCAGCTTGCGTCCTCTCTAGTGTGACACTGAGCCTGGGGGTGGGTGACTGCACTGGAGGCTTGGGGAGGGCAGAGCCTGGAGGTGAGACTTGAGGCTGGCGTTGTAGCTCAGCGGGTAAAGCTGCCGCCTGGGACGGTGGCATCCCATATGGGCACCGGTTCAAGTCCCAGCTGCTCCACTTCCAACCCAGCTCCCTGCTAATGCCCCTGGGAAAGCAGCCAAAGATGGCCCCAGTGCTTGGGCCCCTGCCACCCATGTGGGAGACCCGGATGGAGCTCCTGGCTCCTGGCTTCAAGCTGGTCCAGCCCCTGCCGTTGTGGGCATTTGGGGAGTGAACCCGTGGATGGAGGATCTCTCTCTCTCTCTCCCTTTCAAATAAATAAACTAGAAGGGAGGAAGGAAGATAGTAAATTTTAAACCTGGGGCCATCTGCCCTGATGCCCCTAATCTAGGACCCTGATGTGTCTTTTTTTTAAATTTTTTTTTAAGATTTATTTATTTATTTGAAAGTCAGAGTTACACACAGAGAGAAGGAAAGGCAGAGAGAGGGAGAGAGAGGTCTTCCATCCGCTGGTTCACTCCTCAATTGGCCACCACAGCTGGAGCTGAGCCAATCCGAAGCCTGGAGCCAGGAGCTTCCACTGGGTCTCCCACACGGATGCAGGGGACCCAAGCACTTGGGCCATCTTCCACTGCTTTCCCAGGCCATAGCAGAGAGCTGGATTGGAAGTGGAGCAGCCGGGACTTGAACCGGCGCCCATATGGGATGCTGGCACTGCAGGTGGGGGCTTTACCCTCTATGCCACAGTGCCGGCCCCCTGACGTGTTGTGCCCACCCACCCCTGGGGAATTCCCTCTGTACCAAGAGGACAAGGACCGTCACATGGAACAATCTCCCTATCCACGCCGACTGGCTTCAGAGGCTCAGATACCCACTCCAGAAACCATGGTGCCAACCGGGGGTACCTGGCACGGGCCAGCGGACCGGGGCTTCTCATCTGGGGCCACGTCCAGAGACGCGTTTGTCAGCATGGGAGTGGGTTCAGGCCCACCCTGGGGAGTGGCTTACGACACACGACAGCTCCCATGCAGAGAACGGTCCAGCCCCAAGTGAAAACACGGCTCAGCGGAGGATCACTCTAGCCCTGATGCTATCGTTGGGCAGGAAGCAGTGGGGAGGGCACAGGGGACTTCAGCCCCTGCCTGGGCCTTCCCCCTCTTCCTCCGCCCGCTTTGCCGACTGGCAGTGCTGAATCAGCTCTTTCTCACTAAACTTCCACCTGCTTTCGCGGTATGTATTTCGGTGCTCTATTTTTGGGTCCGTATATGTTTATAATGGTTGATGTCTGCTACAGCGACACTCTTATTATTATAAAACATCCCTCTCTATTTTGAGTAACAGTTTTCTGTTTTGTTTTCAAAGATCTGTTTATCTGGGGGCTGGAGTTGCAGGTTAAGCTGCCGCCTGCAGCACTGGTAGCCCCTGTGTGTGCTGGTTTGAGTCCTGGCGGCTCCACTTCTGATCCAGCTCCCTGCTAATGCATCTGGGAAAGCAGCAGAGGCTGGCCTGAGTGCCTGGGTCCCTGCTGTGCACACGGGAGACCTAGATGCAGTTCTCAGCCCCTGGCTTTGGGCTGGCCTAGCCCTGGCTCTTGCTGCCATTTGGTGAGTGAACCATTAGATGGGAGATCTCTCCCACTCCATGACTCTCTTTTTCACTCCGTAACTCAAATAAACACGTCTTTTTTACTTTTTAGGAAAAAATAATTAACTCTCCAAATGGTTGTAACGTGGTTGGCAGGAGCCTCAAGCATTTAGGCCATCTTCTGCTGCTTTCCCAGGTGTGTTAGCAGGGAGCTGGATGGGAAGTGGAGCAGCTGGGACTCGAACCGGTGTCCCATTATAGGATGCCAAGATCAGAAACTGCACCACAACACTGGCCCCAGTTTTCTGTTTTCAAGTCAGTCTTTGTCTGCTTCTTAGCACAGACAGAGGAGGAAAAATGGAAGATTTCAAAATGGTTAAGAACCTGGTGCTGGGTGCAGAGAACCTGGAGCTGATACAAAGGCGTGGCTAGCATGACCGTGCGCGCCTAGCATGACCGTGGGCAGGTCGCTTCATTTCCCTGGCCAGCAAGAAGGAGACGCTGCTCTGTGCTAAAGGGGAGTCCTAGCAGTCACATGCAAGACAACACATAAAGGCCTCAACTCAAACCTGCCCTGAGGGCTGGCACTGTGGTACAGCGGCTGAAACCGATGCCTACAACACCAGCATCCCATAGGAGCATCGGTTCGAGTCCCAGCTTCTCAGCTTCCCATCCAGCTCCCTGCTAATGCACCTGGGAAAGCAGCAGAGATGAGACAAGTCATTGGCGCTCGCTGCCATGCCACATGCTCAGGCAAGAAAGAAGCTACATGTCTCAGTCGTCTTTGGTCTCAGCTCAGCCCTGGCCGG